ATTCTATCCTTTTAAGTCGAGGCTGACCAGCCAAGGACGTGTCTCCGTAATCCTTTTAGCGATAACTGAAAGCAAATGTCGAGGCAAAAAAATTGTTAAGAACCGTGGATTGATGATGAATGATGAGGACAGTATCACGATGGAAGTCACTGACAAGATAGTAGGATTATGAAAAAAAATTAAGAATCCTATTCCGGCTTTGCCTTGTATGCATAGGTCACCTGAATTGCCATTTCTGAGAGCAGCATGTAGAACATTGTTGCCGGATTCTCCCACATGAGCAGACTCAGGGGTTGCTAACAGCTTCTTGAAGACATCCGCATAATTTCTCACCACTGCCATGAACATGGGCAGAGGCGGATCCAGGATAAGCTCCTCAGAGGGGAGCTAAATAATAAAGATTAGGACTAGAGTTAAAAAAATAATGGTGATTTAGAGGCTAATGAACAGTATTTTTACATATGATTTAAGGCTCCCGAGGGGGGCTGCAGCCCGGGAAACCCCCCTCCGCCGCGGATCCGCCACTGAACATGGGTGAATCCTTACATTTATTCACAGCATTCGACAAGGTGGGCTCTGCTTCTAATTCTATCAGCTCGAGCGTGAGCTTCCTGTGTCCGCTGCGGATGGCGTAGTGTAGCGCGTTGCACCTGTGCTTGTCTTGCTTCAAGATCGCCTCGCTCTGCTGCTGATCCCGGCAACTGGCAACACTTGAGCAAAACAGAGGCTACATAAACAAACACGGATATACAGAAACACGGCCGCTTATCACATCACGGCGGTGAGCAACGGCGTCTCACCGTCGGCATTGATGGCGGTGAGTAGAGGAAGAGACTGGTTGAGCGTCAGGACGTCCTTGCAGAATCTCTCGTGGCCATGGATGCAGGAGATGTGGAGACACATGTTCCCGCGTGGAGTTGTTCCAAGTAGCACAGCCGGATCTTGTGAAACCAACCAACCAGGACCAGGCGCTGCATTATTATTTAGATCAAAGACATTTCACCCGGCTTTACTGAAAGCTTAACAAAAGCCCGCAATCTTGTGCCATCTAAAAGACAGATCTCTAACACCATCTCAACACAGAGCTCAACTCATCTCAAAAGTGTTGGAATCGGCGGTGACCACCGAGTTCACGATCTTGGAGCTGGCTTGCAGCCGGCCCGGCTCGTTACGAGCCTGCGCTCCCACAGGTCTCAGGTCCACCGGAGCTACAACATATAAGGCTTTGGGCCTTCCCAACCCAAAAGACTAGCCTTATAGGTGAGGGTTCTCCCACCTTATATGTTGTGCTCCCCTACCATCGCTACACGATGTGGGACTAAACCCCAACAATCTTCCCCTTAGTCACACATCGGGGTGCCCCCGCCATATGTGACGCTCGAGATTTTTTTATCGGGTTTAGCTTTTTCTGACCTCGGGTACCGGCTCTAATACCAATTGTTGGAACCGACGGTGACCACCGAGTTCACGATCTTGGAGCTGGCTTGCAGCCGGCTCGGCTCGTTACGAGCCTGCGCTCCCACAGGTCCCAGGTCCACCGGAGCTGACAACATATAAGGCCTTTGGGCCTTACTCAACCCAAAAGACTAGCCTCATAGGTGAGGGTTCCCTCGGCTTATATGTTGTGCTCTCCCACCATCGCTACACGATGTGGGACTAAACCCCAACAATCTCCCCCTTAGTCACACATCGGGGTGCCCCCGCCATATGTGACGCTCGAGATTTTTTTATCGGGTTTAGATTTCTCTGACCATGGGTACCGGCTCTGATACCAATTGTTGGAACCGACGGTGACCACCGAGTTCACGATCTTGGAGCTGGCTTGCAGCCGGCCCGGCTCGTTATGAGCCTGCGCTCCCACAGGTCCCAGGTCCACCAGAGCTACAACATATAAGGCCTTGGGCCTTACTCAACCCAAAAGACTAGCCTGATAGGTGAGGGTTCTCCCACCTTATATGTTGTGCTCCCCCACCATCGCTACACGATGTGGGACTAAACCCCAACAATCTCCCCCTTAGTCACACATCGGGGTGCCCCCGCCATATGTGACGCTCGAGATTTTTTTATCGGATTTAGCTTTCTCTGACCATGGGTACCGGCTCTGATACCAATTGTTGGAACCGACGGTGACCACCGAGTTCACGATCTTGGAGCTGGCTTGCAGCCGGCCCGGCTCGTTATGAGCCTGCGCTCCCACAGGTCCCAGGTCCACCAGAGCTACAACATATAAGGCCTTGGGCCTTACTCAACCCAAAAGACTAGCCTGATAGGTGAGGGTTCTCCCACCTTGAGGTTTAGTCCCACATCGTGTAGCGATGGTAGGGGAGCACAACATATAAGGTGGGAGAAAGCTTTTGAACTAGTCACTGAATTAGTTGTTGTAAAACTTTTGAATTAGTTGTTGTAGAAAACAACAGACCACGTTGTGTGTGTGTGGGGGGGGGGGGCATAAATTGTTTGGAGGTTTGGACTCAAAGTCCGTTTCGTCTTTGAACTAGTCACTGAATTTGAAATACCCTCGCAAACTTTAATACTGGACAACATACATACCTTAGCTTTTGAAATTAGATAAAATACCCCTCTTAACCATTTTAAAGTGGTTTCTTGGATGGTTTTGCTCACATGACAATTGAACTCATTTGTCAATTTTCTCTCCCTCGTATATGATAAAGCATAACTTTCTCATATGAAGTTGTACGAATACAATTATATCAAAGTTGTAGAGCTCGGTATGATCTACGACTTTGTAGCTGATAACATTTCTATTTATGGCCTGTTTGTTTCCATGGAATTGAAATTTATTTCAAGAATCAAGAATCACAGTTTATTTCAGATCTTAATTGATATGTTACTACCGTACCGGTTACAGTTTGATGGCAACCGTGAGAGTCCCCCACAAGGAGCTTTTTATGTCCAGACTCGCAAGAGATGAGGGAACTAGATCGGGCCGTGGAAGTGGTGATGAATCTCACATTCCATTTCTTACTATTCCCCTTTCCATTTCTTACCCTATAAATTTGATGTAGGTCTACACTTAAGATTTGGAAAAGTGGTGGAATATTAAATTCTAAGTCAAATAGCATAGTTCATGAAGTACATTCCAGTTCCAACTAAATGATAGCATCCAAAAGGGCTGTTAATGTATTTAGAGGCTCAGGCATTTATTTTATCCTTTTAGATTTTAAAATTCAATTGTTTGAGTTTTTCAAAATGACCTTCATTGCTGACATAGTCTACATAAAAGTTGTAGTTTGCAGCAAGATATATAACTTTGTAGTTGAAAACTATTCTAAGATCATTTAGAGGCTTAAATATTCATTATAATTTTGAAATTAATTTTTAAATTTATTTCAAATGACTTGTGATGTTGGCATGTTCTACACTAAAGTTACAGCTCTCAATACGGTAGACAACATTGTAGTTGATAATACTTTTATCTAGGGTCATTAGAGGCACAATTTGTTGTTTTCAATTCTAAGATTTTGAATTCAATTTTTTGAATTTTTCAAATGTAAAAAATTTAGGCCTCTAAAGGATCTCAAATAAAAAAGTTGTCTACCTCAGAGTTATTGATTATGTTGAGAGCTACAGCTTTGGAGTAGACCATATCCACATCAGAGGTCAGTTGAAAAATTAAAAAAAAATGAATTTAAAAAAAAAAGGAGAGAACTTAAAACGAATATTTGGGCCTCCAAACGATTTTAGATAAAAAGTTTGTCAACTACGAAGTTATACATCTTACGGAAAAACTACAACTTTAGTATAGACTACGTCAACATCAGAGGTCGTCTGGAGAATTTAAAATTTTAAATTTTCAAATCTAGTAATTTGAAATGAATGTTTGAGCCTCTAAAATGAATTAAATAAAATAGTATTCGACTACAAAGTTATGGATCGAGTTAATTCGGCTATGGAGTTTGTATTAATTAATGTACAAGGTTTTCAGCTACATGTACAAGTTGACCCCACCGACGCCAACATCATAGCGCATGCCTGATGACCCATGCCGCATCTTCGCCTCCGTTCGCCACTTCTCGGACCCCGGTGCCGGCGGGCTACTCCATGTTGTCGTCCACGACTACGAAGTGGAAAGTGGGCGTGGTGCGCCGCTGGCACATCATCCGCCGCCGCCCGCGGCCACCTGCCCCGCCCCTGCTGGCTGCTAGGCACCGGCGGATACGGTACACTGCCCGGCCGCCCTTGCAGCCTGTTGCTTGCTGGCGCTGGGTGCTTTGCGCTGCCCATGCTACCGTTCCCTGGTCGCGACCAGCTGGCCAACCCCCGCGGCCCTGCCGCCTGCTGCCTTGCAACCGGTTCGGCTGCTCCTGTTGTGGTGGCCTACTTGGCTGCTTCTGCAGATTCAAGATCCATAACGAGTCATTGTGAGTAACTGTGTACTAAATTCTGGTTTTTCATTGCGTGTTTTGTTTGATGAATGCCAATGTCTAGCTTCTAATAATTGCCTTGCAATTTGCAATATTTGATATCATTGAAAACGCCTTCTCAGCTATGAATGTCATTAAGTCTGAATGGAGAAATCAAATAAAACAATCCATTTCTGGATAAAGCCTTCTTGTAAACAAACATAGCATTGTAATTAAGATTTCTAGCACGATTTTTAGACTTCTATTATTTATTTAGCAGGTGTACAACTAGTAAAATCTCTAGTATTCTATTATTTATTCCACCTCCTAACCCATTTCTGGATCCACCACTACCTGCAGCCACAGTAGGACTAGTGAAAATTAAGAGAACTGACATGATCTATGCTGCAGATTGTGTCATTAATATAAGAAGCAAAGCAACAATGTTATTCTCCGAATGGCTGTTATGACCTGAATTGCTTAGAATTAAGTTAACAGTATCAGATAATAAGTTACAATTTAGTAAGATAATAGCACTAAGAGTTGAGAATAACTTATAATGGCATTCCACATGGCTGACCTGAATTGCCATTTTTAACTGCAGCATGCAGAGCATTGTAACCACAGGCTCCTGCATCAGCAGAACCAGGGGTCTTCAGAAGCTTCTCGAAGACATCCGTAAGGCCTCATCACGGCGATGAACATGGGTGACTCGTTGTACTGGTTCACAGCGCGTGACAGGGGAGGCTCTGCTGCTATCAGCTCCAGGGCGAGCTCCCCATGCCCGCTGCGAATCGCATGGTGCAGCGCGTTGCACCCGTTCTTGTCTCGCTTCAAGATGGCCTCACTCAGCTTCAGCTCGTGGCAGTGTCTGAGGAGAAGTGAAGCCAGGGAGGGATGCCCGCTCGTCACGGCGGTGAGAAGTGGTGTCTTGCCGTCCGCGTTGACGGTGGCGAGGAGAGAGTTCTGGTCCAGCTTCAACGCCAAGAGGTCCTTGCAGAACCGCATGTGGCCATGGATGGAGGAGATGTGGAGGCAGGTGTTCCCCTGAGGAGTTGTTGCAAGGAGCATGCTTGGATTCTGCGAAGCCATGTTCTTCATTGACACCTCATCACCTGATATGGCTGCTACCAGGGGCGATCGGTCCATCAGCTGGAGTCGTCGGTCCCAAGTTCTCGGTGAGGTAAAAGGTCCTAGTTTGGATCAGATGCGGAAGATTAAACAAATGGGTGGAATGCTCTCTAATTATAGTGAATAATAACAAGATATACTGAGAGATATGGTGTGCACGCGCACCTCAAGCAACAGCAGAGAGCAGGAAACAGATGCAGAGGGCAACCAAGTGATGATAATAGAACAGCTCAAGATGTTCCTAATGATGACTGCAATGAGCCTAATGTTTGTAAACCGACATCTCGGCACAAAGGCTTTAAACAAATATCTGCGTAGAAAAGCAACCAAGTCCGCAACCAGGTTCCACGCTGAGCATATTTGAAAAGAAATGTTGGATCTATTGGTAAGAAGAAAATGAATAAATCCACTGACTTGGCTGATATTTCAGATCTCAAATTTTGTCAGAAAGCCAAAAAAGATGAGGCTGTTATCATAACTCACACGCTCTCACCAGGTAGGTGGTTCTGTGGATGCTGTTGGAGTTGACCATGCAAACACTATTGATCTCTGCAAGGACGATAAAAGCAAAATGCCATTTGAGGCAGGAAATAATAATGACACTCCTGTTAGCACTCAAAAGTAGGTGAAACACAATCAAGAGCTGTCAAGAACATTGTGAATCACAAAGGAGTAGACAAGGTTGATGGTGGATCTTCTCTAATGAACTGGATGAAAACATTCATAATAAGAAAATCAAAGCACAGAAAAAGGACCCAGGACACAAGTTCTAGTAGTTATTTGTGTTTATACCACTGGAACTTGTGTGTAGGGTTGTAGGTAGCTTGGCAAAGAAATTCCAGTGTCATACACACAAATAGTTAGTTTGGGATAGCGAGTGAGCAAATCAGCGAATCCCAAATGACATACACTTTCTTTATAATCTAGTATGATGTATTATTTTACATTCAAGCAATGGAAAAACACACTGAATTTTTTCTTGTTTCTCTAGAAAACTTGATATTATGAAATATTCACTTTTATTCATCATCACAGGTTTCTCTTGGTAAACATAAGATCTAGAATGGGTCTAGACTCTGTAAGTAGAATAAACCTAAGAATAAGAAGCAAGGAAAGCCAAAGATGCATGAGAAACATAATGTGATAGATGCATCCCCATGGACATTGTTGAACTTCTTGCCAGAAATCATCATGAGACGGTTGATAACTCACACCATTTTTTTGGATAACAGTCATACTTGACCCGAGATAGCTGCAATTGATTGTGTGGAGATTGCTGCCAAGGACAATCCAATTGATACATCAACAGAGCTTGACACTAATTTCCAAAAATCTTTGGCATCAGAAAGTAAGTAGTTCTTACAGGGTCATGCATCATCTAGCTCAGATGCGCCAAGTGTGAATCCATAGAATTTACATACACAGAAGTTATCACAGTGCCACACAGCATCTAGCACCAAGGTTCTCAATGGTCACCTTTTAGAATCACAAATGCAGAATTCATTTTAGGTACATGCATTACCCATCACCATGTCTTCCATTTTGTACCCTCCAAAGCTATGTGCCCTTGACATTTTCGATCGTGTCTAGGAACAACAATATTTTCGAAGGGACGAAGAAGTAACCATTGCATGTACCTCACCAATATTTGCACATCATCAACATATTGCTGAGTGTCCGATCAGAGCTAGAGCAATAAGGGGGAAGGAAGGTAATGTGGGATTCTTTCAAGTCAACTTCAAGGAATTCATCAGCATCAACATATGGTTTTCAATTCTAGAAACTGACTTCAAGAAGTTGATCCAGCTTCCATTCATGTGTATGAAGCATCTAGTAACTATGTCGCTCACCCTCTAGTCATTGCGGCCTTAGACCACTGCACGAAGAAAGCAGTTAGCCAGGTTCAGCTAAAAAATGTTCCAAGCATAGCATTAGCTATGGAGGCTGCTAGAAATGTTGTAAGAACATCATTAACTATGGAGGCTCGAAGAAGTGTTGCAAACACACCATTAACTATGGAGGCTGGTAGAAGTGTTGCAAACACATCATTAACTATGGAGGCTGGTACTGGTAGGCTATATGATCGGAGGTTCAGTTGGATAGTCTAGCCTTTATCCAAACAAACCTACGGCTGGAACACATCTTTTGGGACTGGTGGCCATGGTGGATCCATCAACAGCGCAAGGCTTCACAAACTCAAAGAGCTAACATGTGCCAGATGGAACTTCAAACACAAACTCTTGGTTCACAGTATGCGTAGAATGAACAGTACAATGTATCACCCAACACATCATATGGATGCCACCAAATTGAAAAGGTTCCATTAACACTGCAAGACTTGTCTCGGCGTCAGGTCCATCAAAACTTGTATAGACCTTTGCGCCGTCATCCTCGAGTAGCTGTGCTCGGTTCGTAGTTGTAGCAGGACATTGCAAATTGGTCTGAGAACTTTGGGACACTGTCTGGATATAGCCTTTGTGTGTCTAAAGGGACAACATCGCTTGTTGATATGGACATAATAGGAAACTATGAGATCCTTAACTCAGGAATTTTCTCAGCAGGATGGAATGCGCTACAGGTGGGTTCTGTTAGCTCTATTCCCACCCAAAACATCGATTGCCAAGGCATGGTACCAGTCAACCGTGGACCAGTGGCAAAGGGAAAACAGTGCATCCTTTGGATAAGCTTGTGAGAAAGGATGTCTACGTTACTAATAGAAACCTAGATGATTTTACTGTAATTAGTGACAAGAACAAGTATATGAGAAAACTTTGAGGTAGAGAGGAGTGTTATAGTTGGAAAACAGTTAGATTGATACATTTCACTTGATCAAGCGATTATCATTTGTAGTGGATAGAGGAAGGGCTTCGCTGAATCTTGTGCGAGGTAAAATATCATTTTTCTCTTTTTTTCCCGTTTTACTCAACCACTTCGATGAAACATAAAGGTTTTCTTACTTTAGTTGGATGGTGTATGCAGAATGTGTGTCAGACACTGATGGACGGGCTGTTTCCTGGATGGAGGAGGAACATTTACCATACTCAGGCGCAGCCTCTAGTATATTGTCTGCAAATGTATATAGGCGAAGAACTGATAAATGGTGGCCGTGGAAAACCCTAGTAAAGTTTATTTGTTCCATACAAGCACAAAAGAGGGACATGTGAGGCTGTACTGTGGCCATAGAATAGAAATGTGTAAGTGCCAAAGGGGGCTGTGTGGTTGTGCTATGTTTAAGGTAATAACCCTATAGGTCAACTGGTTTTGTCTCTAAGTTCTGTAAATCTTCAGGCTGCCCTGACGAAACCTTGAAAGAATGGCTGAATATTAGTAGATGAGTTCTGGTTCTCCGAAGAGGCACATTGTGACAGTAAGCTATTCTCGGACAGTGGGGCCTGCAGCTGTGCCATTGTTGAGTACACAAATCTGACCGAATGGTTGACTGGAGCAGCAGCTTGTGACGCATGGCTGGTGAGTGACAGAAAGAAGATCTGTGCTAGCAATGGGAAGGGAGCCCAGTGGGAGAGGTGTTCCTGGTGTCCCTGCAGGCTGCAGTTGCTGGCAAAGCAGAGTCGCGACTCCTGCTTACATTTAGTTCCTCTGGTTCTGAAGATGTGTGCATCTGAATTACTAGTAGAAAGAAAACGCAGCAGGCAGGAATTCAGAAAGTCATTTCAGAGTGAATTGTGAGAAGCCTAGCCGCCCATGCGATGGCAAGTCGAGTGGCCGATGGCGGATGCCTTTAAAAGGAAGGAAGGGAGCGTGTGGCGACGGGCGAGGCAGACCGCCCTACGCACTCTGCACTCTGCAAACCTCCCCGTCCGCTCAGCTCGGTCAAACAAGTCCGGTAGCACTGTTGTCGTCCCTTCGGAGCTCATGCCCACCGCGATTGACGCCACACTGCGACACGGCATGGGCGGAGCCCGGCGGCAGAGCCCCCTGCGTGGATGGGCATGTGCGCAGGTGGCTGGAGAATGCCAGCACCACGGCGGAGGACGCCCCAGACCGGGCCTTCAACGCGCTACTGCTCTTCGGTGTACGCGTGTCCCTCGCCGAGCGCGACCACACGCTCTACTCGCTCCGCGTTCCTTCCTTGTAGCTCAGGCCCAGCCCAGCTCTCGCGTGACAAGTTCTTGGCTTGGCTTGGCTCTGATATCTGGTCAGGACGTGGAGGGGAACTGGCACACGGGCACCCTCACGGCAGCAGCGGACGACGTGCGCGCCGTGGCCATCATGTCCGTCTTGGGCATCATCAAGGTCTCCATCCACTACCACATCTCCTACTTCACACCGGCCAAGCTCCATGTGTGTACACACCACACCACTACCTCCTTACCTACTACTGTCTTCTCCCAAGTTTCTTTTAGTTTCGCTTTCATTCCCTCCTCCTAGGGACGCCAAAAGAAATAATCATCTCTATTCTTTTCCCTTCCCCACTACGTGAGTATGGGGTGTGTTTCGTTTGGTGCCAAACCCTTGGCCTGGTTCCGTGGAGCCAAGTTGGGCTTGTTTGGTTGATTATAAGTGGGCTGGACCTGGCTTCGAGAGGCCACTTGTATGCCCCTGGCACGAAAAAACACTAGCGGCAGCCGTTTTTTCTAGAGCCTAGCTTGGCCCAGCCCCGCATGCGCACCGTCTGGTGGGCTCAGGTGCCTTGGGCTGGCCACCAAAAGTGCAGTGTCACCGCCAGCTAGGGTTTCCCTAGCTACTGTTCACTCGCTTCCCTCTATGGCGCCTCTCTCTCTCGTTCTCTCCCCATTCTGTCGTCGTCCTCCTTGGTGTGCCGCCGGTGGTGGTGAGCTTCATTGGCGTTGCTGGTATGCTAGTTAGGCCACTAGTATGCGGCCTCATTGCCATCTACTTCGCCTTTTTCTTCTTTGTTGTTTCTTCTTGTACACTTTCGACACTGTTTTTGTTCGGATCCATCGATTTTTCCACTGAGCTTTAGGGTTTGGTCGATGATTGTTGCGGATCTGGGTGACGCACGACTTGGTGTCATAGCCGGTCCTTTGATTTGCTTA